TTTATTAATTAATTAATGGTATTAACAACATTTGGTTGCAGTATTAACAGTACGTTGGAAATTGTTAAAAAATCAACATGAATGACGTCACCTTTACACAGTTGACTGATATTATGACATAAAATCGGGTTTGGCATCGGGTAGATTGTGGCATGAATAATGGGTAATTTCCGATTGTTGCACAATTGGTCAATCACTAAATAATAATATTAGATAACACAACACTTGGAATCACTAAAATAACTATTTTGAACCCTGAATTTAACCCATCATATGACCAATTAGCCTTTCTCACGAAGGCCAAATTCGCCATTTTTGGGGTACTTTTTCGAAAACAACATGAAAAATCTAAGCAATGACAATGTGAAAACATTTTTTCAAATAGTTAACTGTCAATTACATGAACTTATAATTATTATACTCACAATTCAGATATGGAAAAGGCAGTACCCCAAAAATGGCAATGTGAGACAGGCTAATTCAGCTAGTACATTAAGGTACAATTAATATCACATACCACTTTCATCAAGAAGCTTACTGATTGCTTCACCCAAATCTGAAGTATGGGTAATCGCTCTCTCAATGGCACTTAACTCTATGTCAGGAAACATTTCCTGTAAATGAATTTTACATTCATCCATTGTTACAGGATAGTGACTGGTTGTGGGAAACTGAGAACTGGTTGTGGGCTGTTGAAAACTGGTTGTGGGCTCAACAGCACTGGTTGTGGCATGCTGAAAACTGGTTGTGGGCTGTTGGGCACTGGTTGTGGGCTGTTGAAAACTGGTTGTGGGATGTTGAGCACTGGTTGTAGCATGCTGAAAACTTGTTGTGGGCTGTTGAAAACTTGTTGTGGGCTGTTGAAAACTTGTTGTGGGCTGTTGAAAACTGGTTGTGTGATGTCGAGCACTGGTTGTATAATCATGAGGACTGGTTGTGGGATCATCAGCACTTGTTGCAGTACTCAACACTGGCTGTGGAATTTAGGACATCGGTCAGTGTTTGCTGAGCAATATCAGAAACCAAATCTTCCTCTGGCAGGAGCCACATATGGTCTTTTGGGTGAATAGCTTTGACATTTTCTCGCCATCAAGTACTTGCCCTTGAGCAAGATTTGGTGCAACAAGATCATTACCAACACTCAACATGATTTGAAACCTATATACATATGAGTAATGAGTAATACCCAAAAGCCACAATTCATTATATATTTGCCAATTGTAAGCCTTAATCTTTAAAAATAAATATGCATGCAGTTTGTGCCCTTGCCTCAAGGAACAAATGTTGACCATCAGAACCATAACATTGCAAAAATTGAAAAAATCACAAATGTAAAATTTGAAATTAATTGTAAAATATAAAGATTTTTTTCATAATGATTATTGATTAACAAGCAAAATAATCTGCCATATTTGTTGTTTCTTATCATTGCCAATTTTTCATTTTCCCTCAATTTTGATCAGATAACAACCCTTGTCATTGGCCTATTTTTGCCAAGGCAAGAACATTCTCAATATGGTTTTATATGCATTTACTTCAATAATTGCCAAGGTGAAACAGAAGGGGTGGATAATGCCAATCTTGAGCAATGACTACTATGTGTTTGGATTCTTGCATAGTATGGATGTACAGAACTTTGTATTTTTGGAAGATTTTTAATTGCATGGGGATTTGGAGTAGCATATCAATATGGTGCATGTAACTTGATGAATGGGTCATTCCAGAAAACATCCATACCACCCCCACAGAGGAAATTGGAAGTTAACCCCCCTACCCCCTTCGGATGTCCTAATACATTTCCCAGTGGACAAAAAGACGTCGATTCAACGTTGAATCAACGTCATCCAACGACGTCGAAACAACGTTGAAAAAGTGGTTGCAAATGCAAATCGAATCGATGTTGAGATAGCAACGTCATTTGAACCTCAACATTCCGACGTCGAAACAACGTTGATGTTTCCATGTTGATTCAACGTTGAAACCATGACGTCGAGACGACGTCGAGACGACGTCGCTCTTTCAACGTTGATTCGATTTGCATTTTCGACCAGTGTTTTCGACGTTGTTTCGACGATGTCGAAACAACGACGTTGTTTCAACATCGAACAACGTCTAAAAAAAGACGTAAAAACAACATCGAAAAAGTGATAGAATATGCTATGAATCAACGTTGAGTTCCTCGGTTGGTTGAAAGCGTTATCAAAAAAATCACATCATATATAATTTTAAATAATTTATTGTTAATTTTTATACAGGGTGTCCCGAAAAAACCCCATACCTTTAGAAATTGGAACCTTTAGAAATTTTGCTAATTGTCTCACTGATGTGCATACAAATATAAGCTATCGTAAATTCCCAAGTGTATAAGATGTTTTCTAAAGATTCCAATTTTTAAAGGTGTGCTCTTTAAATATTAATACTCTTTAAATATTATTACATATGCAATAATATACAGTATTTACAGGTAGCTCAGTTAATATCTTGCAAAATTATACAATTATACATTTATTTCAATTCTAAATTTTTTATTTCTACAGGTTCGCTTCATAACCATATATCGAACTTATATCACTGTTACACATTCAGTTAATTTGTGTGAGAACAGGTTGGAACAATAAAAAGTTAATTACACACAGAAAGTCTTTACGTACGTCCTCCGCCACCTCTTCGATCCGGTGCGTACTTTAACAATTTTACAACAGCCTGGTGAACATCTGCCTCGGTCGAATTTCCATAGTGTTTTAAGACACGCTGCAAATAAAAGGAATGTGTGAGATGATTGTGCTATTCCCTGGTCACAGAGGGGTATTTCGGATTCATAGTTGTAACATATCACAAATAGTATAATTTAGGCTAATCTGCCTACAGTACCTTTCCTCCATCCTCGTACCCAGGGTCTTTTTGGGAAAGACCCTGGTATCGGCTTGTCACGTGACTCTACAAAAATTGATTGCCCAAGGGGGAGTGGCAAAGTATCAAATTACATGCTTCCACAGAAAACGTTAAATTTCAAATACCAGGAGTGGGATTTTACGATATATAGTTCGAAGCGCCCGCTAACTTCTATTTTATACCTCTGTTTGCTTTTAAATTACAAAAACACTGTAGCATTTTATCAACAGTCAAGTCAAGAAACAAATAAAATGTATACTTAAAACTTTGAAGTTGGGTATTCCCTTGAAACATATTTTCATATCAAACTGGTCAGTCGTCAACGTTTGTACGTTTTATCTGTTCGGAAAAAAAGACATTAGATTTGTCGTTTGAAAACGTTGATAAACTTTGTGCAGATTTACTAAAAGTACGCGTCTCATTTTATAGTGAAGGTTGATAAAATTTTGAAATGTAATTAACTTTTTGTCACAAATCACAATGTAAACATGTGGACACTGCCGAACAGAGACTAAATGCTCACTTTAAAACTGTTGATGGTTTATCTTTGAAAATACTTTTAATTAAATAGTTCGCCATATTTATTAAAAAACCCTGTAGATCGGTAGGGTAGGAGGTTGGCAGGTAGTAAAGTACAACAATTTTCAGCCTCAGGGCGTGTATCATCAGGTGGTATATACAATCACAGCTTTAGCCTGATAATTTTTTGGCCTCCATGCACTAAGTAATGGGGTAACAGCAATATTTATAACAGTATTTTTCTGATATACAGTACACACTTTATAATATGATATGAACATAGTCATAGATAATTCCATAAACCACAGAATAAACAACAGCATAAGCCACGGCATAAACACTGATATCACACTCAGTCTGATATGCATATGTACCCACCACAGATGTCACAGATATATTAACACTAACATAGTCTTAGAGTTTGATTCAGTATTATATTTCACAAAGTACTTTATTACAGTAAAGTAATTTCATTACAGTAAAGCTAATGTCACAATTAAAGCTATTTATCAAATTTATCATGCGGACTGTATTCTCTAAATGTCCTAAATGTCAAACATATACAGTATTCGTATTTGTAACATACATGCACAGACGAGTCTTTCACTTATCTTTGAGTAGGCTATTGTCGAATTATTTTACCGTATTTCTTGAGCATCAAGTTTTAACAGATTCTGGTTTTTCGTATCTCTGAGGATGGTTCTGAAGGCAGTTTCAGCAGTCCGAGTAGCATTGTTTACAAGCAACATTGTTTGCGATATTTCAGAAATCAAAAGATCTCTATATTTCGTTACACATCTCAGTATTAATTAAATAAATCCTTGTAGTTTAGGATAGACACCAACAGCTAAATAACAGCAACATCGGTCGGTACTGGTGTAGAAATATATTTTCTTGTATTAAACGTTTGCGACATATTGATTTTCTTCGACGAGCTGTATCAGCATAATTTGTCTATTGAAATCTGATCTATCTTTGCTCACCGACATTCTGCACACAATGAAATTTGATATTCACTATTGAGTATTGTGTAACATTGATAGTATATTCATGACAAATAAAATATACAATTTTGTAAATATTTCCTGCATGATTTCTGGGTTATTTCTTCGCTCACTCCTTGCTCAATGACAAAACATACTTAGGTATCCACCCTAATTGAAATTGTTTGTTATCTCCCAGATTCTGGGAGACACGTGACCAGCCGATAGCAGGGTCTTTCCCAGCCGGTGGAAAGTCCCTGCGACGGATGTTGCCTTTCCTCCATGGCCTTTTTAATGTTCATGCCAGCCTTAAGGTTGTTTCGGCCAATAATCAAAGTTATTTTAAAGGCAAAATATAGTCAATGAATGAATATATTTCAAAGTCAAGGTTCAGAAACAATGTTTGACATTTTCAGGTTAAATATACATTCACAATCCATATCAATCCTACTATTTTATTTGATGTTGTTCAGAAAATAAACCCAAAGGTTATAAAATAATAAAATGTGATTCCATGAGAAAGAATTTTGGGTTAGGATTTAGGGTAGGAATTTAGGATTTACGTTAATTCCTAACACTAATTCAGCATGTTTTAGATTATCACAGGTTAGGTAGCATACAAAGTGATCTGACATAGACCCATGCACCTTCTTAAACATTTTAATCTCTTTACACAGCTAGACGGTTTTATTCATTGGGGGTATATAAGTACGTTCAGCAAAGGGTTGCTGCATGCATGTATTGAGGTCTGTATTGTGAAATATCAGACTGAGGTTTTTTAGTATGGACCGAGCGATAAAGGAGCAAGGTCCATGCAAAAAACAGAGGTCTGATATTTCACAGTACAGACTGAACAAGCGAGGTCAATAATCGGTTTATTATATGGGCTGAATTGAGTCTGAGCATATATCCTTTTAATTCACGCAAATTAAATCGGCTATCGTCAGTTTCACTGGGTAACAATATATCGTAGGCATGCATGTTCAATCAAAAACAATTTGGTTGTTTGAAACTTATATCTGTATATGTTAATGACACAATTGAGAAATTAAAAAGCAAAAATATTTTCTGTTTGCAAAGCAAAAATTTCGGAATTT